AAATTATCGTGTTTACTTGTCAAAGAGGTAATCTGAAAATGTGCACCTTCGGTTGGCCACCAGAACTCAAGCGCCGGCCATGGTGATGGTGTGGGCCGCCATAACAGCCGATGGCAGACCGTTGCATCAGAATAAATGCCGAACATTATCGCAAAAATATTCTGGCTTGAATACACCAAGCCTTGGGCACGCAAACATTTTCGCCGCAGACCTTGGACATTACAACAGGACTCAGCACCATTGTATTCACCCAAGAATGGTTACATAATAAGGTTCCTCGCTTCATTTCCAGCGCACAATGGCAACCAAAATCTCCGGATACCAATCCGTTGGACTAATGTGTTTGGAGTATGTATTTTGGAAAGCATGGTTGGCACTAGAAAATACCAAAGTGTCGATCACCTCAAGCAAGCGCTTCGCGGCAATGGGCCAAAATACCGCAGAGCAACATTCGGGCAGCGTGTGACGGTTTAATTGGCCGTTTGAAGGCCATAATTCGTGCCAAAAGTGACCAATTCGAAAAAATCTAAACTTATTCTAAAATGTGATGCTATTTCCGACATTTGTTGCTTTCATTCAATAAAGTTTAAAAAAAATGTAACAATTATAGCTTTTGACTTTGTTGCAGTTTTTTTTATCTCACCTTGTATTTCATCTTCACACTTGCTCGAATAAAGGCAAAAAACGCTTTCAAAAACTTTGCGACTGGCAACAATTGTCTATCAAGCTTTAAAAACAAGCAATAATGTAAATAATTCTACTTGTTGTTGCTGCTATAACTATTTAGTAGTAGTGTGTAAGAAAATATATGTCAAGCCATTAATCGATGGGTTTTGTTCTAATCCAAAGAAAATAGTTAATTACTGTCATTGTATCGAACACTTATTAGTATTCTATTTTTTGTTTTGTCTGTCTGCCTAGGCGAATTAAAACTTATTCATCTGTATAAGGTATATTTACAAATATTACATTCATTTAACCCATACCAGACTTTAAATATTGTGTTTTTTTAATATTCTGTCACAATTATTTCGGTAATAAAATCAACGGTGGAGTATCTCTCGAATACCAAATTTTAATTTCAATACCATACACTCCCTTCGGTTTGAGCTCTTTGATGGATCTATTGTTACTTGAACCTGAATAATTATTTACTTCCCAAATATACGAGAGTAATTATTATTTAAAAATTAATTTATGGGACGGACCCAGCAAAACAAAATCTATATAATCGTGTCATATCCTTTATGCATACCTTCATCCGTAAGGTCTGTTTGATACATGCCTGCTTATATGTCTATGCGTACCATAACTCACGAAGGGAGTATCAAATTGTCTCATAACTTGATACAACATTCTACCAAACATAGATCGAGTTTGGAGATGGACAATACCAGTCCTATCCTTTTCGCATCTCCCCACAACAGTTCAAATATTTGCGAAAATGGACAATATTGGGCCACTTCTTCTATTACATCCCCCACAAAAGGTAAAAATTGCAAAAAGTCGTAACATTTAAAGCGATGTCTGCTTTTTTACATATTATTATAATTTTTAATATTAAGTTGGGATATGTACGTCCAATAGTTTGGTACGTCCCCAGGTGTACGGGTATACATAAACAAGTAGTTACAGGCTTTGGATATATATCTCCGAAATGCAAATTTAATGTACTTGCTTCTGACTGAATTCAGTCCCATGTGTCAAAATATATAGCTATGGCTCTCGATATAAACCAAATTTGAAGTACTAGTTTCTAAGATGAATTCAGTCGTAATTGGCAAAATTCTGTCCATCTGGGCTGATACTAGCCATTTGACGTTCAATAAAATTGATATATATGTGAGCTATATTCAAATCTGAACCGATCTCGATAAAATTAGACAGAGGTATTTTCGAGGATATGACAAGATTTTCGATGTCCGGTACCAAATATCATTCTTGTGGAGTGCATATTACGCTTGAAAGGGACTTTAAAACCCAAATCGGATAAAACATATATATGGGAACTATAGCTATATCGGAAATTCGATGTACTTGCTTCTAGACTGAATTCGGTCAGATGTACCAAAATTCAGGTCATTTGCACGGTTTGGACTAAACTGAGATGAGGGTGAGATGAAAAAACTACTAACAGACTGCTGTCATTTCTAATCCACTCGTCCGACAGCTGTTAAAATTATTAAATTATTAGTGTGATTTCTTTATATTTGGCTGAAAAACCACAAGTGGCTATTGTTAGAGCACTCCAGCATTTAAATGTGAATAAATCTTTTGTGTCTCGTACCATCGTTTGTTACCGTGATACTGGTAGCGTAGCCCGACGTCAAGGAAGTGGACGAAAGAAAACAGCAACATCAGCAGAAATGGTTCGAAAAGTAAAGAAGCGACTTGATCGGAACGCGCGTCGCAGTGGCCAAAAGTGGCTCGTGAAAAATTGAAATACTCAAATATTGAAAACAAAGCCATTGAAATTCCAAAAAGCGCAACAGAAAGAAAATAGACTCAAACGAGCTAAAAAGTTGCTTCGCTTGGCCGAAAGTGGTGAACTGCCGAATTTGGTTTTTTCCGATGAGAAAATATTCGTTGTCCAGCAGTTTGTAACCAAACAAAATAATCGTGTTTACTTGCCAAAGAGGTCAGCTGAAAATGTACACTTTCGGTTGGCCACCAGAACTCAAGCTCCGGCCATGCTGATGGTGAGGGCTGCCATTACAGGTCGCTCTCCGCTCGTATTTATCGACCGTGGCATCAGAATAAATGCCGAATATTATCGCGAAAATGCCGAATATTATCGCCTTGGGCACGCAAACATTTTGACCGCAGACCTTGGACATACCAACAGGACTCGGCATTTTCACACTCAGAACGCTCCACCCAAGAATGGTTACAAAATGAGGTTTGTCGATTCATTTCCAGCGCACAGTGGCCACCAAAATCTCCGGATACCAATCCGTTGGACTATTGTGTCTGGAGTATATTGGAAAGCAAGGTTGACACTAAAAAATACCAAAGTTTCGATCATCTCAAGCAAGCGCTTCGCCGGGAATACCGCATAGCAACATTCTAGCAGCGTGTGACGGTTTCATTGGCCGTTTGAAGGCCATAATTCGTGCCAAAGGTGACCAATTCGAGCAAATCTAAACGTATTCTAAAATTCGATGCTATTGCCGAAATTTTTTGCTTTAATTCAATTGAATTTAAAAAAATTTAAACATTTTGGAGCTTGGCATGTTGCAGTTTTTTTTTATCTCACCCTGTATATGTTTTAACCGAATTCAAAGTTCCTGCCTTCTGAAAGTCATAAAATGCACCATTCATTGATGTTGCTTCACTCGGAGAACATTGGCCTATTTTGTTCAGTCTAAAAAGGATTAGTTATGATAGAAAAGAAGAATTTTTATATAGTTATACCAGTGCTTACCTAGCCCAATGACATTCTACAAAAGGTCACATCAGAAAAAATCTCTATAAAATTCAGTGGAATCGGTTGGAATAGACACATAGCTCCCATACATAAGTTCCATACGATTTCAAAGGTAAACCACTCTAAAGCTAGAATGGTTACTGAATGAATGTAAATGGTACGATCTATTTTACAAAGGCCCAAAATATAGCTGTATATTTGTCAGGATCTGCTATATATGAATATAGTCGGACCTTTCCGGCCTTGTACTTTCCTCACTGGTTTTCAAAATAAACAGGCAACCCTGGTAAATGGATATTCTATTGTATTACATATTATGTACTCAGTGTATTGTGTTATAGTATAGCACGTTTTTTAAGTTACTGGGAGCGCTTTAAAGTATGCTTTAATTTTTTCAAATATAAAATGTGGAAAAGCCACTTTACATTAATAATAACATGATGCGTAAACTAGTCTTAAGTTTGAAACTGTTTTCATCTTTTTCTTGTCCTGTCCTATAAAACAATTTGTGAGCAATTAAGATAAATTTCAATTTGAAAAATTAATGTATTATGCATAAATGTTTTGAAAACTTTTTCAATCAAAACAAAAACCCCTTAAGGTGAATTATACTAAATTTCTCCCCAAGGGCATGTTGAAAGGAATTTTTTAAAATCATGAAACGATTCCTTTGGCTTGTTTTTTTTTTATTTTTTAAAGTCAAGAGGATGGATTTTCCCGATAAATGGTGGGTGCGTGTGTATGTAACTAGAAAAACAAATATAATTCTATAAATAGAATATTGTCTCTGTGCTATTATAAGTGTACAAATCTTTTACTTATCCAGGCACACACAGTGGGTTAATACAACGGCAAATGGAACTCCCAAACCATAACAAGAACACAAAACAACAAGAGCTCTAACAGACGAATGAACGAACGAACGAACGACTTGTAGGTAGGTAGGTGTTGAACATTAGCACACAGCACCAGACAACAACAAACCCAGCAAGCTGTCTGCAAGCAATATGTTGGCTGCAAATCAACAGCAGCGGCAGCAACAACAACTTTCCAAATTGAGTCACAATTTTCTTCCGATTTCAGTTGTGTTGATATTTTTTTGTGTTAAAATTAGGAACGGAAAACAATAGAACCATATTGTTTGGGATTTTTTGTTTTTGCTGTTGCTGCTGCCATTCCTTTCATGGTAATCATGGCTGGGCAAATATAATGGAATACACCCATAGATTGTAGACGTGGGGCACCAAAAAAAACGTAACAGTTCCTTCTACGTTATTTTGCTCTTATCTTAAGTAAACGATTTAGAATAAATTCAGTTCTTATGACTGCTCTGCTATTATCTATTCTATGTTTCTTTAAACATTTGATTGCAGCAGGGCTTTGTAATTGGCCGCCACCGAACATAATCATCGAGATAAAACTTCTTTCAGGCGACCTGGCTCCATTCCATTTGATCCACAAACTGTTTTTTTCTTTTAATTTGCAAAGTGTCGTTCAGAACATTTGCCCCACCACATCATTGTTTGTCACATTGAATTGAATTTTCGTATTTTCTTTCTTTCACGAAACTTACTGCAACACTCATCTTTGTTATCACACATTATAGGGCCGTTTTAATCACGTTGTCTCTGTTTGTTTACTACAACAAAAAAAAACTAAATAAAACGAAATAACAACAAAATGTTTACGTTTGTCTTTGCATTCACTCGCGTCCACTTATTATTTTTTTATATTTTTTCTTGTTTTTTATTTCTGGCTTACGTCCAAAACTGATTGTGTGTTTTTGAGATTTTGTTTTTATTCTCTTGTGCCGGGTAACAGCTGATTAGGGATATGTAAGTCGTTGCTCGACTAAAAGGGAAAATCGATTTGTTGTTAAGTAATCGATTTTCCGTTATCGGCTTTTTAGGGGATGTTCTTCATTTTGAAGTGCCTTATTTTTATAGCATGTTTCCATTGGTGTTTGAGCAAGGTTGTTCGGTTTTAGAATTAAATACAAGAATCAATTCGTCATCATACTTGTATGATTTATTTATTTTTATATTTTGCTGGACACCGAAGCAAGTAGTATTTAATATATTATAAAGGAAAGAATCGAAAATGGAATAAGTCATCGGCTGACTTATTTATAAAAGAATAAAAAAGATAGGTTGACTTAGTTCGATTTCTTTCCCGAAAACACTAGACGGCTGGCTTATTCGTAAGAAAACAAAGAACTACAGGATGGCGAAGTGAAAATACTAAGCCGAAATTGAACTAAGGAAAAATCGGTTACCCTAGTAACATATTTACATGCATGCATGTTCTGGAACAGACAATATTTTTTAAAGTATTTCTATAGAATAACTATAAACAATATAAAATAACTACAACAATTTCTCTGGACTACCTAGTAAGTAATTCTACCATAATTGAGCGACTTATATTTATTCAAACATAATAAAGGTTAACTAATTTCAATTTCTGTCCATAAAGTGATTTATAACGTGTTTAGATACAAAATGTTATACGGATTAACAGACATTTTCAGGATTTATTTCTTAATTCGGATTAATTCAACCAGGTTTTACACACAAAAATTTATCTTCTCACGACGAAGAATACAGGTAGATGCATCAACGATTGGAAGCAGTGAAATGTCAAAATTTATTTTTTTTTTCAAATATAGGTGGATTTTTATATGTTTTCTTATACAATGCCAATTGGAGGTTGTTATATTTTTACAAATTTCAATAATTTTTCATTCAAAAGTTTCAAAATCAGTTTGAGAGTTCATTGTCCCAGCAGCTGTCATTGTCCCAGATGCATCAACGCTTGGGAACATTGATATCTCAAAATTTTTAAAATGTTTTGTCAAAAATATTCGAATTCGGAACGAACTTGGAACATTTGTGTGAGATTGCCCAATATTCTGAAAGTTTTTCTTTTTTTTTTTTGACAAAAGTTGGAAGGACCATTAGATTTTCGTGACGAATTCGTTTAGAATTCGAAAAAGAAAAAAAGGAATATTAGAAACAATTTTAAGATGTTCCATCCAAAATTCCGAAAAAAGTCTGAATTTTTTCTATAGTGTTATCCGAAAGTCGGGAAAAATTATATGCATTTTTTCAAAAATCGGCGAATTATGAGAGGTTTGGTAGGACATTGGGAAAAGTATCGGGTGTTTCATCCAAAATTCGAAAAATTGTCAGATGTTTGATTCAAAATTCAGAAAAAAATCCGAATTTGTTGTATAGTTTTATCCGAAAGACGGGAAAAAATCGATGAATTCATTCAAAAATCGTAGAGTAATACGACGTTTGATATGAAATTCAGAAAGGTTGATCCTAAATTCTGAACATTTTCAGTTTTTTGATCGAAAATTTGATCATTCTTAGGTGGCGCGTGCTGAGTGCGGTTGTGCTGAGTCCTGTTGGAAGGTCCAAGGTCTGCGGTCAAAATGTTTGCGTGCACAAGGCCTCCAGAATATTTTCGCGATAATATTCGGCATTTATTCTGATGCCACAATCGATTAATACGAGCGCAGAGCGACCATCGCCTGCTACGGCGGCCCACACCATCACCATGGCCGACGCTTGAGTAATGGTGGCCAACCGAAGCAATTCTTTAGCTCTTTTGAGTCTATTTTCTTTATGTCGCGGTGTAAGTTCTTGCACTTTTTGAAATTTCAATGGTTTTACCACGAGCTCATTTTTCAATATGCGTCGAATGGAATGTTGCGATATGTTCAGCTCACGTGAAATGTTTCGGCCACTGCGACGCGAGTTTCGATCAAGTCGCTTATGTTGCTGTTTTCTTGCGTCGATTTCCTTGACGTCGGGCTACGCTACCAGCATCACGGTAACGAGCGATGGTACGAGACACAAAAGATTTATTCACATTTAAATGCTGGAGTGCTCTAACGATAGCCACTTGCGGCAGTTTTATCATCTCACCCTGTATGTTCGGGACAAGGTGTCCAGGCCATCTAATATGAATCGATAACTCATTCAGTTCCGATAGATTACTGTGGGTATGTTCTGGTTCATCTTGGAGTTTTTTCTAGGTCTTCCTACTGTTTGAGGTACGGTTGGTACAACAAGCCAAAGGCTTCTGTGACATAACGAGACGAAGCTGAGGTGGAAAAAAAGAGCCAAAGTCTCCTGACGAACGGACCCTCTGTGTAAATGAATTACCGGCGACGCAGTTTAATGAGAACCAGTTCAAAAAGTTATTCCCAGTTAACGATTCTGTTAGTCGGAGGAAAGAAAATGATTCAAAAATTCGGTCATACCTAACCTCAATTAAATTTGCAGTGCGCACATTATGCTTTTTTTATATCGCTACTCATATTTTGTATTGAATGTACCCTTAATTGAATTTCTTACCCATAAATTTGCTTTAAATAAAACTATTTACGTCTTCCATCCAAGTTAAGCTGGAAATACATAAAGCGCTTATCTGGCTGGCTTAAGGCTGAAAATACATAAAGCGCATATTTGGCTGGCTTAAGTCATCGGCTGGCTTCTTCGTAGATGAACAAAGGAGTTTTAGGTTGACCTAGTTCGAGTTTGGCCCTAGGCTCCTTTGTTCATTTCCGAAGAAGCCAGCCGATGACTTAAGCCAGCCCAATAAGCGCTTTATGTATTCCCAGCTTAAGTCATCGGCTGGCTTCTTCGGAAATGAACAAAGGAGCCCAGGGCCAAAATCGAACTAAGTCAACCTAAAACTCCTTTGTTCATCTACGAAGAAGCCAGCCGATGACTTAAGCCAGTCAAATATGCGCTTTATGTATTTCCAGCCTTACTTTGGTATCCATCCGATTAAGTGAGTTTTCTTATTTTTCTGAGAAATCCATTGTTATAATACTGCCCATTAGCCATGGCGTTCAGAGCTAATCAAGGTCTTGCGAACTTGTTAGTGAATTCTTTGAAAAAAAAAAAATCCATGAACATTGATGAACTTGTTTTTCCTTCTAACATTATCCTTTAAGATCTTCCAATTATGACATAATCCCCTGCCAATGGCCAAGGATTTGCCTAATGGACTGCTAATATCAAGAATGCATTATAAATCCCCTTCCTACCCATTTTTTAGCAGAAATTGCGACTTCTTTCAGCCAAAGGCAAATTTTCAAACAACTATTAAATAAATTACGGCTTGTTTTGTGCTACTACATCTTTGTTTTTCACCCAACCATTTATGGTGTTCTGTTTTGTTGTCTTTACAGGACATAGGAGAGACAGACAAACAGCCTGGAAACGGAAGTTGGAACATTAAGAGTATCATCAGCATCAATAGCAGACACATTGTGAACGGCCGAAGTTTCAAACGTATCCTTCTCTCAATGACGAAATAGTTTGATGTTAATCAATGGGTTTTGCTAACAAGGCAACAAGGACAATAGATTCACCACCACAACCACTACCATTGTCGCCATTATGGCGCCCAACGTATTCTGTAAATTGTGCGATAACAAGAAATGTAACAGCTACAACAAAACTATCCTTAGGCTTTAATATATTTGATGATTTTTTGTTAAACTAATGCCCGCAGAATTAGGTGCTGTGTCGGAAGAAGTGCCAGCAGGACAAGGCTTTAGTTAATCAACATTTGTACTGAGTTTCTTTTGAAAAGAACAAAAATCATAGAAGACATTATTATTAGCCAACCAAAAACAAAAAAAAAGCTTGCGAGCGGAAATTTAGCCTTCATCCAAACAGAAGCATATCTCCAATACCGAAATTAAGGACCAACAAAAAAAAAGAAGATTTGAAATTTGCCAAAACTAGTTTAGCTGATATTTTGTTACTGTGTCAACGAAAAAAAAACAAGCTGGAATAAAAACAACGCCCTATTCCTTGGCTTATACAGAGGAAACGGAAGAAATAACTTTTACCCCATAAAGTTAGGTGTTAACCCAAAACCAACATTTATGAACTTGAACTTAGACAAAGTTTAACTTGAGTTAGATTTATCAGCATCGCAGCAGTAACCACATCTAAAACAACAATTCAGAAAAATGCCAGCTGGACGTGTTGCCGGAAAGGCGGGTTATTCCAACCACTACTATAATGGTGAGTTTGGTACAGTTTTTTGGTTCCTTTTGTTTTGATTTCCGCATAGTTTGCTTGCTTGATTTTCCAGTAGTTGCTTCATTCATTCATTATTCTCTCTTTCTTCTTTTCATTCCACTTTAGACGGTACGTATTTTTCAAAACACACACACACCCACCCACACATGCATATCCATGCATCCAACATTTGCATATATGTATGTACATCCACCAACACGAATTCGAACAACCACCCACCCACCCACCAACTCACACATTCATTGAATACTTGGATTTGGACATAACTCTCTCACACAAATTGGATCGTATTCTATTAACATTAAATTCCGCATTGTGTTATGGTTTGAGTTTAAAGGGGGCCAAAATTCGGTGGGAATGCTTAACAATTCCCGAAATGCAAAATGGTAAGTGGAATTATTGTTGTTGTTGTTAATAATGAGACCACGTAAAGCTAGATTTACACAATTGAAATAATCTTTAAAATGCTTCTAATTCGTGTAAATAGCAAAATTTCTTTAACATATTTTTGATTTATTGCACCAAAGTTTTAAAGATTTTATTTATGTCGGATAAAAAGCATCCAAATTGCAGCTGAAAATATTGACGACTATAAAAAATTTGACAGCATGTTCATTATTTAAATTCAATGCTTATTATATACTTATCACAAGTTTTGATTTACCTATTTTTATTGCTGCAAGTGGCACTGTAATTAATTTTTTTAAATAATAAAATTAAAACAAGTAAGCAAAGGCTACAGTCGAGCGGGGCCGACCGTTGAATACCCTACAACACTATAATAAATTATACAGTTTATATAGGCCATATACTTGAAAGAATTCCACAAGATATTGTGACAAATAATAAAAGAAAACCATCAGGTTTCGTTCTAATTTTCGAATAATAGAAACTTGAACTAATTTGCTCATTTCCAATTTATAGGTAGATGTTGCACGTAAATGGTCTTCCTAGATCTGGAACCAATATTTCCCAAACACCTATAATCTCTCAGAAGTGGCAAAAGATTAACATTTATTATTGGTTTTAGACTTAAACGCATCTATGTGAGATACAGACATTTGACTATATTCTTCAACGAAATCAGCCTTAACGAAATAGTCAAAAGTGCGTCTTTTCTGTATTTGTGAATTCTCCAAAAAGACACTGGAATGGATATTTTCGTATTTTGTTTACAAAAGTTGGCAAACTATTTCACAGATTGAATATTTTTGGATGGCCATCCAAAACTATTTGGCTTTTGCTATGTCCGGTAACCTCCATTCAAATGCGATCGGGCGATAATTACGACTTGTTGACAATTTTGCAGTTTTTTTGTCCATTTCAACCCCTACATATATATCGCGATTATCTCCAAAAAGTGTAGGCTTCTATTCTGACCCTCATCTTATCCCCATGCAAAATTTCATAAGGATCAGGCCATAAATGCGATCTGTATATGATATCCTAACTACTTAGTTTTGTTAGCTGTAGAAATATTACCAAATGTTTAAAAATGAAAATATGACAAAATTGAAAAAATATGAGAAAATTTTAGAAAATCAATATTTTCATCTTTAGAGTGATATTTTTATGCGATTTTTTTTTTTTTACGTTTTTTCTTTCTTGCCAAGAGGCCATTCTGAATTAATGAGAACTGTCGAAATCAGTTCAGCCGTTCTCGACATATAAGAGATCTTTTAAGCATATCTTCTTTGATAGACATATATATCGCACATATTTTGCTATATATCCGATTTGATGGATGTTAACATCAATGTAAAGATCAGAGGTAACCTTGTCATGGCTATTGATTTCGCCGGGATTTAAAATGTTCGCGGTTTAATGAAAAATGTTGAAATTTTTCAACACAAAAGATATGGTATTTTTTATCCGCTAAATATTATCCGATGACCACCCAAATTGGTAGGCTTCTTCCCCGCCCTAAACTCTAGCTACATGCGCAATTCCGCGTCGATTGGTCTATAATTGCGACCTGTAGAGCAACTGCAAAATCAGGAAATTTTTCAGTTTTTGGTCCATTTCAACTCCTAAATATTATGCGATCATCTCCAAAAGAAATAGGGTTCTATTCTGACCTTAACCCCACCTACATTCTAAATTTCGTGAAGATCGGGCCATAATTGCGACCTGTAGAGTGATTACAAATTAACATGGACAGACGGACAGACGGACGGACGGACATACATAGCTAGATCGACTCAGCTCGGCGAGCTAGGAAGATCCATATATACTTTCCTATATGGGAAACCAATATTTCGAGGTGTTACATAAATTCTGGCCCAATCAAACTTATAATACCCCCAACACATAGTGTTGTAGGGTATAATTAGTAAATTAATATGGGTTGGTAAGTATTATATATTTATTACAGATGTCTATGTTATAAAAAAAAATATTTACATAAATGATAACTTTTATTTATTTATTTTCCTTCCTGCACCACAAGATTAATATCTTGTAAATTACAGTGCAGGTTACAAATATTAGAAACATATCCAATTTTAACTAATGCAATAAAATACATAATTTGAACCGACAAGTTACATATATTGTTTAGTTAATACTAAAAATTTGAGAAATGTAGGGGAAAGGAGAAAATTTTATACTTATATTAATTTTAATTAAGCCTATTTATACCCTACACTACATAGTGCTAAGAGTATTATGCCTTTATGCATTTGTTTGTAACATGGAGAAGGAAGCGAGATAGTCCCATAGTTATTTTTGAGAATCTTCATGGAATCACTTTCTGATTCTGATTTATGCATGTCAGTCCGTCCGTCTGTCCATGTAGTTTTGTGAACAAAATGCAGGTCGTCTTTATTATTCGATTGAGATGAAATTGAAATTGTTTGGCCCAAGGATGAATCATATTGAAATTGGTGAGAATCGGTTTAAATTTCAACTACACAAGAATGATATTTGGTCTCAGATATCTAATATAGGCCTCTGCCAAATTTGATCAAGATCGGTTCAGATTTATATATAGGTCCCATATATACCTTCAACCGATTTCGTGCTAATTGTGCACCAACTGGCCAATATCAGTCCAAAAGTCCTGAATTTTTTGCACATCCAACCGAATTCAGTCTAGAAGCAAGTTCATCAAATTTGATAACAGAATCGGTTCAGATATAGCTATATCTCCCATATATATGTTTCATACAATTTGGCGTTTAAGCTCTCACATTCGTAATATGCACCCACAAGAATGATGTTTGGTTAAGAATATCAGAAATACCTCTGCAAAATTGTATCAAGATCGATTTAAATTTGGGATAGCTTCCATACATATCTCAACCGATTTCGTGTTACTTGTGCACCAAATGGCCAATATCGGTTCAAATAACCTGAATTTTGGCACATCTGACGGAATTCAGTCTAGCAGCAAATACATCAAAAAATCGGTTCAGGAGGAGCTATAGCTCCTACATATAGGTTTCAACTGATTTGGTGTTAAAGTCCCTCACAAATACCTCTGTCCCTCAGAAATACCTCTGCCAAATTTTACATCGGCAAGTACATCGAATTCGGTTCAGGTATAGCTATAGTTCCCATAATTATGTTTCATACAATTTGGTGTTTAAGTCCCTCACTCACATTCGTAATATGCATTCGACAACAATGATATTTGGTACCAGATATCGTATAGAGCTCAGAAATACCTTTGCCAATTTTTATCGAGAACGGCAAAATTTTGGATATAGCTCGCATGTATATATTCTAAATCCGATTTCAGGTTTATTGTGCAAGTAATGGCTAATATCAGCCCAAATGAAGTGAATATCGGAACTTACGTTTCCATTTTATGGAACTCGGCTCCGATATTCTCCAATATTTTTTTAATATAATCCTTTTCGAAGTGATATCATGCACTCTATATCAATATTATTTGGTATAAAAGATGAAAATGTCTCCGTCAAATTTAGTGAAAATCGATTCAGAATTTGATATGCCTCCCATATTTTAGTACCCTCTGAAACTAAACTATAACTGCTCTAAAGCCAAATGTTGATAGGTGGTATGATCTACTTCAAATAAATTCTGTTATTGCGGGAGCTCTACTAAATATGCATAGTATCTATCTATCAGGTATCGGCTACTGCGATACCTGATAGATAGAGTTTTCTAACTCGAGCGTCTCAATCAGTCGAGCTGGAGATGGTCCCATCTGCAGAAGCGACGCCCTTCGTTCATCGTCAGTAAACTACTCGATGGACTATAATTGAACCGAGTGTCCATCTATATCGTGTACGAGTCTTTCTCTTATTAAGCTTTCATCGACGGATGCCGGAAACTAAGAGCGCTAGTCATAAGAAATTTTTCTATAATGCTAAAGTCGTAAATTATCCTTGCAAAACTGCTTATTTTGTGTGTGTGTGTGTGTATACATCTAGGCCCAAGTAGGCCCTAGGAATTCGCCTCCCCCAAATGCGGAGCCCGACGTCAAGGAAGTGGACGGAAGAAAACATCAACATCAGCGGAAATGGTTCGAAAAGTAAAGAAGCGACTTGATCGAAACCCGCGTCGCAGTGGCCAAAAAATGGCTCGTGAGCTGAACATATCACAATATTCCATTCGGCAAATATTGAAAAATGAGCTCGGGGTAAAGCCATTAAAATTCCAAAACGTGCAAGAACTTACACCACAAAAGAAAGAAAATAGACTCAAAAGGGCAAAAGAGTTGCTTTGCTTGGGCGAAAGTGGTGAACTGCCGAATTTGGTTTTCTCCGATGAGAAAACATTCGTTGTCCAGCAGTTTGTACACAATCAATATGATAGTGTTTACATGCCAAAGAGTTCAGCTGAAAATGTGGGCCGCCATAACAGCCGATGGTCGCTCTCCGCTCGTATTAATCGACCGTGGCATCAAAATTAATGTCAAATATTATCGCGAAAATATTCAGGAGGGTGTATTTAAGCCTTGGGCACTCAAACATTTTGGCCGCAGAACTTCGACATTCCAACAGGACTCATTA